GATACAGTTAAGTCTGCCTCATATCTTGACTTACATCTAGAATTTGACAATGAGGGTCGGTTGAAAACAAAACTTTACGACAAAAGAGATGATTTCAGCTTCCCAATTGTGAACTTTCCATTTCTATGAAGAAACATTCCAGCAGCGCCTGCATACGGAGTATATATCTTCCAATTGATACGATATTCCCGGGCTTGTATTTCCTATCATGATTTCCTTGATAGAGGATTGCTGCTCACAAGGAAGCTATTAAACCAAGAGTTCCAAATGGTGAAGTTGAAATCATCCTTTCGTAAATTTTACGGACGCCATCACGAGTTGGTTGACCGTTATGGAATAACCGTTTCACAGATGATTTCGGATATGTTCCTTATGTCGTAACTAAAATACCCTTCCCTTCTCACGAATGAGACCTACCGAATTAGACTATTTACCGGATTTGTAATAACATAAACAACACGACGGGTGCCACATGTGGAGCAGGATCTGCTTACCCTTCCGGAGCACCTGAGATCACCCCCAGTTATTGGTGGGGTTCGTGTTGCTTAGTCTTTAATTTTCTATGTTGTGTCATCTGTACTATTATTTGTCTGTTTGTCTTTTTATTTTTGGCCATGGCGTTGTCAGTTTGTTTTCGATCTATGAGTTTGGCTGTCCCTCTGGTATCTTTCGTCCCTCTTTTGTGTTATTTTAATGACATTTATTTTATTTAAAAGACGTTTGTGTTATTTGAATGACGTAGGCAAGGCCGTGTGTATTTTGATATTGTTTTGCATCAAATCAATTTTTAAACACCAACGAACTAGTCTGGGCCGGGTCTCAACATGGGATATTGGATACAGACGTGAAGCTTGGATTTTAGAAACGCCCCATTTATATATTGAAGTCTTGTGAAAATCCCGACCCATAAGTACATTTCATGCAAAATCATACCATTTATATATATGTATCTCAGTTATCACATTTACAATTTTGAAATCTTAATTTGATTTAAAAGGATAACCCAGCATATATACAGATATCTAATCATAAGATGACAATTACTGACCCATTGACATTTTACCTTGGTGAAATTGCAACCCATTGATATAGTTGACATTTTGAAAGCAAATATCCCAATAATGATTCCAGATCCATTCGGCGGTTTCAGAGAAGATTTGTTTTTACATGTTAACGACAATGACAAACAAGAGACGACGACAGATGACAGACAATGACGAACACCAAAGGATGGCAATGGCTCACCTTGAATTTCCGTTCAGCCCGGTCGGTCTGATAAAAAGGGGTCAGTGTACCCTTAAACTACTATAATAGTAGTCTCAGATACTGGTATACCAAAACCCTATTTGACAGTAAAAGCTTTAATTTTAGATATTAACCCAACCCCACCTACACAAACTGCTGATCGATTAAGTAATCGTCTGCCTCCATTCTTTTCATTCGTTTTAAATGCCATTAAATCCGGAATAGTGTAGACTTTTCATTTAAAGGAAGTTGAACATTAGGTGTTGAATATAATTTGGATTTCCACACATTTAAAAATAGATAGTGAATGTCAACATGTGTACATATTCACCCACTGGTTGATTTTACCCGTTGTTTTCCGTAAATTACGGTTTTCGCGATAGATAAACGATTTTAATAAATTGAATGACTGAATTCAAACTTTACAAATTGCTCATGTTTTAGCAGTCGTTTGCAAGTTTCATTTTACCGTTGCATTAGGATTATATATATACTGTATAGACTACATTTTAAATGTTGGTCATATTCACCAACTAGACACTGTTCACTACTCGTAGAGAGATTGGGATGCTCGTGGTTTGCTAATCTGCAACTGCTGTGATATTAATATTTGTAATTTCACCCTGGGACTATTATACTAACAATATGATATGTCCCAGTTCCACCCGAGGAATTTGTAATATAAATGAAATTTGAAATGAACTACTTTCGAGGATGATTTCAAAGTTAATAACAGAACTCAATGGAAACAAAATAAATCAGAGATCCAATAAATAAGGATTATGGAAAGCTCTGTGTCAAACCAAATGTTACAGCGCAATATCTCCCATTCAGTTGACAGTGATTTAAGATTGATTGATTGATGGAGTATAACGCTACTGAGGGCACTCTGTGCTATATAATACCGATCAGGTTATATTGGCGGAGGGAGCTGGAGCGCCAGGACAGATTCACATAATTTCGCCAACTGGCAATCCGAGTCAATTAAGATCGGATCGAGTCAAACAGGTTTCGTACCCACCGTGGCAACCTCAGTATTGACAAGCTAGTGATCACTCTAGATATTGGCCACCAAGCCCCCCCCCCCTCCCCCCTCCCCCCCCCCCCCCATTGATTTAAGATACCACATATTGAAACCTGAAGACCAAAATGTGAGCATACAATGCAGGGGCGGATCCAGGATTTTGGAAAGAGGGGGCGAAGCATGTAAAGATCGCCGAGCGGAGCGAGGCGAGAAATTTTTTGGACCTTTCTTTGGCTAAAAAACATAAAATAAGTGTAAAATGCACTTTTTTAACGGTTCCTGACGTGGGGCATGTATATTTTATAGTTAAAGTGTAAGGGTTGGACATTTTTGATGCCGTATTCTCCCCATTAATGGATGGATCCAAAGCTATGTACTAATATATTTGATGTGGGACTTGTCAGTAAAAAATTGACATGGAAAATTCTCGTTTGCTGTATGTTTAGTTAGCATAACCTCACGGATTTTTTGTTGTAAACAAGATATACGCCGGGCTATTCAATGAAATTTACAATTCGACCGACACGAGTTAAGAAAGACAAACAAGCAATTTTTATCCAAATGATTGGTTGAAATGTTTCACCCAACAAGGGAAGTGAGGGGTTCCAAATCAACCAAAGGCTACGAATGAGTCTGAAATGACAACGAATTTATGAATTACGGTCGACAAAAGGCCACACCCCGCAGGCAGGTTGCAGTCGGGCCTTGAAAAAAGTATTCATTTTATCAGTTCGACGAAACAGTCATTCCGGTCAGATATGGGATTTACATGCAAACCCCCGGCCCCAAATAAATTACGTCCGTTTTTTTATTCATTATGTTCATTTAATGCTAAATAATTCTGTTGGAAATTTTTGTTTCTAATAGCAAAATAGTGGACAAGATCATTGTTTTCAATCCAGATACGGCCAGAATTTTTGTTTAAGGCAAAAATCAGGGTCAGAATTTTTTCTCTCAAATATCTCAGACTGCCCTCTCAAATCAAATGGTCCGTACCTTAGACTTTAAATCTATTTAGAGCTTATTGACTGGGGATCATTATTCAGCTATGTTATTAATAGGCTGGGGCGTGTGGGGTTAAACATGTTTTCGTAGGTAAATAATATTGCTGTGGATCTTTTTTTTCATGAGAGTGTGATAGAGTATTACTTTCTGTTTGGTGGAGTTGTGAAATAGAAGTCAATAAATACGTTCTTGCTCAATCCTTTGTCGCTTTGAAGATGTCATGCTTGTCATCCTCAGCCTAAGCAATGTGTTACTGTAATTTGAATTTCAAAATGACTGAGTGACGTTTTTTCGACGCACTGGTCAACTCCACCGTAGCGAATCACATGATTTTGACATAATCAATAATATATTACAGTAAATACGAGCGAAACATATCTTTATAAGTAAAGAATTGTCGCATAAAAATTAAATACGCGGGAAATGGCAAAGTTCACGAAGTCTAGTCTGATTAATCATTTTACATAAAAAAAAGGGCAAGCAAAGGGGGGGGGGGGGGGGGGGGCGTACGCCCTCTACGCCCCCCTCTGGATTCGCCACTGCAATGGAACTGTTATTAAAATTACGAATCTGAAAGTTTTCACGTTTGGTGGTGTTGACTTTTTTGTTACTCTTCAACTAATATCCCTTGACTCATCTAAGTCCTTGTAGATTACCCGAAGATCTGAGAACTTACAGATTGTTGATATCTGTTCGATAACCTTAATATCATACTTATATTCAATCCATCTTTAAATTAAGCTCTATATGGAGAGAAAAAAATTAAGCGTATATTAACAGTAACGCACCTTGTATATCTTTACTGCATATATATGCTGAATATATTACATATTGTGTAGGTCTCAGTCTGGAAACTTATTCGTTCCGAGACCTCATTCAAAATGTATGGAGTAAACTCTCCATCATGCAGGGTACATAGTAAACATGGTAAATGAACTCTGTATCAACTAGTCTAAAAACTTTGGAATAATATATGGATGCATTTTAAAATACGTAAAAATTGATCTAAAGAAGAAATCAAAAAGTAATTGAAAGATTTAACAGATGTTGTATGCGTTGTATAAAAACATGCAATTTTTATATTAAAACTGTTTATATCTTTGATTGGGGCCGTTCGAAAGATAAACCGTATTGTTGATAACCGTTCTACCCTCTTACCGTTACCTACTTACTTATCAACACAGCATATAGTGATCGTTTTGTCCGTTCGCTCGTCCTGGTATCCTAATCTAATAAACCAGCGACTGAATTTTAATAAATCTTTCGTAGAATCTATTTTGGATACTTGAGTCGGAACCATGATAGCAATGTGCACCTCCTATTTCTGGTATATATGAACATATCATATTTCATTTTAATGGGAAATTGTGTTATAAAATCATAGTGTAATGTTTTTTTTGTGTGTGTGAATTTCACTGATGTTGCCCATTAAGGACCCTTAACTTTGTTTGAACAATACATATTCTTAGTATTATTCTTATTGTACACCCGACCGTCTTTCTATGGACCTAAATTTATAAGGGAGCAAAATCCATAAATTGTCATTGACAAAATTAAAAAAAAAATGATGGATCAAATGAAAAGCTCTGCTTGAATCTGGGACATAATATATTGACTGTTAGTATAATAGTCCCAGCTCAAGTTGAATCGTTACCAAGATTTATTTTTCGGAAAATGATAGACTGTCCGTTGTTGTTCTCGATTTTATACTTTGCGGAAGTCCCCGAAATAGCAAAAATAGTCACAGGAGTTTTGAGGAACAACCAAAACATTTCATTACACAAAATAATGGATTTGTACCACTAAAACAACTGTTTCTGAACGGAAGATCGACGTGAAAGTACTGTTTGATAGTCAAACTCAAGGTAAAAAAGACTGGCAAGTTAGAAAATCTGATACATCATTGAAACTTTTACTGTAGTTTATAATTTTTAGAACTTTCTTTTTGTCATGCGAATCCGTCTTAAACAAAAATGACGTTGGGTCATCTTCTAGCCAATTTGTTGTTAATAAAACGGTAATTCTATCAGTTTTACAAAATGTGGTTGGAATTGGCAAGACTCATTTAATCTGATTATCATAGTTTTGCACTATAAATTTAAATGACAGCTTTCAACAGGTTTGGGAAGATGCTCATAAAAGAGTACTATCCTAAATTATGGGTATTATACCAAAAATCGGGTATCAATTTACTAAATAAAAAGATTAATTTTGTATTTCATCATAATGGCTGTCATGGCACAAACATATATAAACATGATAAATAGCCACATTTTCCTCTTTAAGACCATAGTTCAAATGAGAACTGAATACAAAGATAATGGCCTTCAAAATCCTACTTTTTGAAGGCTTGTAACCTTTCTCCAGATGGTAGTTATGTCATGGTGTCTTTGGGTAAAAAGTGATATCTAGTCGCCCTGGTGTTCACAATAGTCGCTTGCAGTAGTTTTCATCATCGGCAATTTCCCATTTTTACCAAGTCAATGAAACAGCATATTTTTCATTTAAAAGTAAAGAAATTCAAATACATGAACGATTTATTTCTTTAGAAAAGATGTGAAAGAATTGACTTTACAGATTGATCGTATTTTCTTTCACTTCCGGAACTTGTTATTCGAGATCGTACATCAAAACATTCTGATTTTCGGCAAAATAAGTTTGTTACTTCAAAGTGATCAAAATTGCCATTAGTTGATGTTTGATCCATTTATTGCATTAAAAGCGTCATATTCCTTTCCGAATCGCTTGTCAAAAATTGTTTATTATCAGCCAGTCAAGGTCGTTAAAAACCCCCATAAGAAGAAATTTTCGTAATTTTTCTTCATCCGCCATTGAAATATTTGTACGAACCACGGATCGTAGGCAGGATTCATCGGAAGTGGAGTAGCTATGACCGTAATCCGTATTCTTAATATAACAGGGCTCACGCTACCAGGCCACTGGGACGAAGAAGTCCCTTTCACGTCAGTCATTTCGCTTTGCCTGACCCTCAAAAGCAAAAACAAGTTGTTTCTCGCTTTCAGTCGCTTTCGTCATCGGCAATATTCAATTTTTACCAAGTCGATGAAACAGCAATTTTTCATTTTAAAGTAAAGAAATTCAAGGCATAAATGATTTATTTTCTTCAGAAAAGAGGTGAAAGCATTGATTTTAAAGTTGGTGGCATGTTATTTCATAAAAACAATTGCTTATCACTTCCGGTACTTGTTAGTGACAGTTACTCTGAAAGCGTACATCAAATCATTCTAACTTTCGGCAAAATAAGTTGTTACTTCATTAGAACTTGATGAAATTTGCCTAAAGTAAATTTGTTATCCATGTAGTGCATTAAAAACGTCATATTCCTTTCCAAATAGCGTGTCAAACATCTTTAATTTTGGAAATTTTTCTTCGTCCGCCATTTAAATTATTGGGCATATTATGCCATACAACTATGAATCGGAGTCAGGATTTCATCGGAAACGGACAGGCTATGACCGAAATCTGGATTCTTATGATAATGACTAGGGACGCATGAATGTCACTGCTGACAGACAAAAATTGATCCCAAAAGGAAAAATTACGCATTCCGCATGCATTAACATACTTTTGGTTAGATCTTCTTGATTAATGTATATATTTCCATGTATATGCATTGTTTCAATTTATAAGTTAAAGTTGCTCAACCCTGGGACTATTACACTAATATAATTATATTATGTCCAAGCTTAACTGTTAAATTTATATATCTTTTTAATGAGAAATACTTTGTATCATGAACATGATAACAGAGTAGGTTTTTAATTGAATTTTAATTGATATACAGTAGACTCCACTTAATTGCATACCGCTTAATAGCATAACTAGGTTAATTGAATAGTTTTCTCCTGCACAAAACCATTTCCCATTCATCTAATGTTAAATTGTCCGGTTATATGCATAGCTCTACAAGTGGCATTTCGGTTTATTGCATAGAAAATAATCGCCATCTAGATATGCTTAGTTAAAACTAACGAGATTTTTGACTGGAAACGGCAATTTGGTGAGTATATTTTTCTTGAATGCATTATTATTTCATATTTACTTTTGTGTTATTTAAATAAAGTTTTAAAACAGTTTCTTTCGTGTTGATATGATAAAATTAAACAACTTTAAATTTGAACAATTACTTTAATTGTATACCCAGGTACAAATTGAACAATATAAAAAAAAATAAGAAACATATGACCCTTAATGTATTATAGTAAAAACCACACATTGTAGCACCGCGAGCGAACAAGCACTTCTCTTTCAAATCTCACCACTTCTCCCTCTCAATTTCAAAAAGAGAAGTCACTTCTCCCTATGATTCTAAAGTAGTGTGAGCCTTGTATAATAACTACAGACACCTGAATTGAACAGCTGACACGAGAATAATGATCCCAAAAGTGAAAATTACGGATTCCACACGCAATTTGGTTAGATCTCCTTGCTAAATGTATATATTTCCATGTAAATGCATTGTTTCAATTTATTGATTAAAGTTGCTTAACTTTGTTAAATTTATATATTTTTTTAATAAGAAACAATGAATTTCATTAACATGATAAATAGAATAGTTTTTTAATTGCATTTTGATTGATATATGATACTTTCTTTTCCTTTTTGTCGAGCCTTCGACTTTTGTCGAAAAAGCGAGACATAGCGATCCTACATTCCGTCGGCGTCGGCGGCGTCCACAAATATTCACTCTGTGGTTAAAGTTTTTGAAATTTTAATAACTTTCTTAAACTATCCTGGATTTATACCAAACTTGGAAAGAAGCTTGTTTATGATCATAAGATTATATTCAAAAGTAAATTTTGTAAAAAAAAAATTCCATTTTTTCCGTATTTTACTTATAAGTGGACTTAGTTTTTCTGCCAGTTAACATTACATTCACTCTGTGGTTAAAGTTTTTAAAATTTTAATAACTTTCTTCAACTATCCTGGATTTCTACCAAACTTGGAAAGAAGCTTGTTTATGATCGTAAGATAGTATCCAGATGTAAATTTTGTAAAAAAAAAATTCATTTTTCCGTATTTTACTTATAAATGGACTTAGTTTTTCTGCCAGGAAAAATTACATTCACTCTGTGGTTAAAGTTTTTGAAATTTTAATAACTTTCTTAAACTATCCTGGATTTATACCAAACTTGGAAAGAAGCTTGTTTATGATCATAAGATAGTATCCAGAAGTAAATTTTGTTAAAAAAAAATTCCATTTTTCCGTACTTTACTTATAAATGGACTTAGTTTTTCTGCCAGGAAACATTACATTCACTCTGTGGTTAAAGTTTTTAAAATTTTAATAACTTTCTTAAACTATCCTGGATTTCTACCACACTTGGACAGAAGCTTGTTTATGATCAAAAGCTAGTATCTAGAAGGAAATTTTGATAAAATTTTGTTCCATTTTTTCCGTATTTTACTTATAAATGGACTTAGTTTTTCTTCCAGTCAACATTACATACATTCTGCAGTTTAAGTTTTTAAAACATTTATTAGATTCATAAATTATCCTGGATTTTTACCAAACTTGGACAGAAGCTACTTACAATCAAAACATAGTATAGAGGGGAATATTTTTATTAATTTTTTTCCTCATTTTTGTTGAGCCTGCGATTAACACCAAAAGTAGGCGAGACACTGGGTTCCGCGGAACCCTTACGAATTTTTGATATAAAAAAACTTCTTTTTAGTGCCTTCTTTTTAGTGCTAGCTATATAGTTTGTAGATTCTGATAAGAGGACTAATATAATTGTGCAACTATAAATGACTATTTAAGACATAAACTGAAACAACTGTTACTTTAATTGACTCAAGTATGAATTGAACACCTATAAAAAAAAAGATACAGATGAACCTTTATATTATAGTAAAAACCAAACATTGTAGCGCCGCAAGGGAATGAACACTCTTTCAAATCTCACCACTTCTCCCAGTGTTCTCCTTTTTTCACTAAGGTAAGGTGGGTGTTTTGAAAAAACCACTTGCAACCGGGTTGCGGGTATTTTGTTTTTTTTAAACATTTGCAACCAGGTTTTTTTTTTACTGTGGGTGGGGGTCACAAAAAGAAGGATTAGTATTGTATTCATATTTAATGGAATTGAACAAAAATAAACAGATGTAGTCACATAAACTGTCAAATAGTCTTCTATGATTTGATTTTTTTCAATAATTTATTCCTTTTTTCCCTTAGCATCTCGGATAGCAGATGGCTTTTGCAGGACTCCCTCCTCCTGCGAATGCATGGCCTATTGATCTGAGTTTCTGTTCTGTTCTGCTTTAGTGCTGTATTTTTGGCACACAGAACAGTAATATCCTTCCTCTGTGACGATTAGCCATTTAAAGTCCTGTTCATATTTATCTTCGCTTGCGTGCCTTTTCCGTTGTTTTGATGTTTTTTTTCAATTTCAACAATTTCAATACAACTATCCATTTTAGTTGACTTATTTGGCCTAGAATTTTCCTTATCACCATTGTCATCTGCCTTTCTCTTCCCCCGATTAATAAAAGAAAACAATGAAATTTGATGATCAGCCATTTTTATATTGGTATGACGTTGGCGTCGTCGTCCAAAGACATTTGGTTTTCGCACTATAACTTTAGTATAAGTTAATAGAAATCTATGAAATTTAAACACAAGGTTTATGACCACAAAAGGAAGGCTGGGATTGATTTTGGGAGTTTTGGTCCCAACAGTTTAAGAATAAGGGGCCAAAAAAGGACCAAATAAGCATTTTTCTTGGTTTTCGCACAATAACTCTAGTATAAGTATTAAAATAGAAATCTATGAAATTTTAACACAAGGTTTATGACCACAAAAGGAAGGTTGGGATTGATTTTGGGAGTTTTGGTCCCAACA